ATATAATAAAAAAGAAGCAGAAGAAAGAAGAACAAGAAATTCAAACTTTTTGCTACAATATTCACAGAAATTCCCAGAACTTGTGACTTGGGCATTACATATATATATATTGTTATTAAAGGAAATACTGTATAGTAAAGTTCTGATGACCAATTGAGGAGATATTTAAAATACTATTTCGAGGAACAAATCAAACCATCCATACATAGGTAGTGCTACCATATGCCTGATTATGCTTTTCTTAAAAGTTTATATTATTAAGAAAAAATTAGAAAATCTAAAAGATTTGTATTGAATGCATTTTTAATCGTTTTCACATTTTATACTGTTTATAATCTAACTTATTCTACAGTAATTTTATGATAATTATTTATAATTTGAATGCATATTTAATACTTTTGTTGTTATTTTTTACAAATAAAACTTGTTAGCAGCAAGAACGGGAGTTGGGTGTTTGTGAACACCCTCTGTCAGACATCACCATAGCTGGAGAAGCAGCATATCCATTGCCACAGACCTTTCATGATCTTCTTCAAACAATTTCTGACTTAATGATGCTTTTGCCAATGGGCTCGGCCCTCCAACAGATGGCCATGCGGTGCTGGTGTCTCAAGTTTCAACCTTCAGACCATACTTTTCTGCATCACAGTCACGTGTTCTCTAACATCAGCAAGATTTTATCCCGTTCGGATGAAGAAGGGGATGATTTGATGGGGAGTCAGGTTGAGGTGGGACAGGTGGGGGAACCCTGTATTATAAAACCCCTTACAGCATCTGAGTTTGTTTTGTTATGACTTAAAATAGAAAACGTATTACATTAAAATCTGATATTTTACTATGATTTTCATTATTTGGCAATAAGTATGTCTTGTAACTTTTTGGATATGCTTACAAGATAAAATAAATGATTGAGTATATAATATATGAAAGACATAGTCATGTCAGAACGTGGTATCCAATGTAATACTTTTTTGGGTGCTTATTATCACCTGTTGTATTTCAAGCTTAAAAGTTTTAGAATAACTTTAAATATATAATGAATTTTTTAAAATTATTTTTATTGTGTGATGTTTGAAAGTTTATAACCAGAAATACTTGAAAAGACATATACATTAGATATAAGTTTTTTGCTCTTAAAAATTAACTAAAATTTCCTTAGGTAACAGCAATAGTAGAATCTCAGAAGGATGTTACCCCAATGATGGATATCAAAACTTCAAGCCGTCAGGCTATGGTTGGTAGCCTCACAGACAATTCTACAGAAACTTTCTGGGAAAGTGGAGATGAAGACAGGAATAAAACAAAAATTATAACTATAACATGTAATGCTCAAGCTCAGCCCAAGACAGTCTATCTGCATATAGATAACTGTAGAGACTTGGGGGTATGTTAGATTGAAATTTCCATTTTATTCATTTAATAATATTGTTTTTATAGAAATAATCCAGTGTAGACCTTTCTGGTGCAACTAGAATCTACATAAGGTTCATCATTTTATCTATGGATTGAAAGGTGTCTCAAAATGAGTTAGTCATTCAAAATCTACTCATCAGAGAAAACATCAAAATTGTATTAAAATTTAATGTTTATGGCTTAACTTTGTTTTCATCTTTACTTATTAAATCAAATGTTTTGAAAATTATATTCTGATTAACATGTTAAAGAAATTTTCCACGATATATATTTATTTCAGATTCAATCTCAATGGCCATAGTCTTTTTGAATCTGAATGTTTGATTGTAATTCAAAATTTGTATTTGTTGTTGTTGTTTTTTATACAATATTAATTTTTAATGTTCATATTTTTTTGCAAACAAAAGATGCCACAGATTATAATGAGAGTAATTTTTCAATAAATGGTGGACCTGGGAACACAGAATATATTTATCAGCTTGTAAAGGAAAATGATGTTCTAGAAATTGAATATCAGGACTTGACACAAGTTTTGGAGTGGTAGAAATAAGGCATGGACTGAAAATCAGCTTTTTTCTTAGATCTAATAAGAGTACTCATCTCTGACAATATGAAAGATGACGGTGAACACAGACATGAGTGAAAGAGAAAGGAGACTACAAGATTTGTTTTGAAAACACAAACTAAACCTGTATACTTTGAAGTCTTTGTGGACATGGAGGAAGAGGAATGGTGGGATAACATGGATGTAGTTCACTCACAAGAATTGATATGTAATGATACACCAGAAGATATTAAGAGCTTTGTAATATTCAATCAAGGTGAAACATTTTCAAGACCAAATGAAAGCTACTGAGGCACGAGATTGGAATGTTTAGGAACACAACCTTTCATAGATGAACACATTTTCAATCTTCATTGTTTTTGTCATGATGATTGTTGGTGCTGCACCAGTTCTGATGGTTCAAAGCTTGTTGAGTGAAAAGTAAACTGCAGAAAATATCCGAATTATTTTCTGGATGAAAAAGAATTGATTCTGTTCTGAGTAAACTGGAAAAATAAACTGTGAAGATTTTGATGCAAATTGTTTGAAAAACCCATGATGTATGCCAGTTGTTAGTAAATCCTTGTTATTAAGGTCTACAATTGTGAAATTATTTAAGGAGACCTTTCATCAAATACACCGTAGGTGTATCTGTAGGAACTCCTTTTAACTAACAAACGTCTTCCCATTTAAGGACAAAATTGGTAAAACACATTATTCCCTTGTCTGTAAATATAAATATCTTCCTGGTTTGAAAGACAGGCTACATTTGGCACAGTATCAGTTGTCTAGCAAAGGATTGTATAACATTGTACTGCTTCCATGTATAGCAATTTGCAGGTTTTCCTAAGAAACATGACTGTAAAATTAAACAGATGAAAGTGCATTAACATACAAAGAGATCTTGGCCATGAATATTTTGCAACCTGAAATAAACATCATGGAAAATTCTTTAAACATGTTAATTAAAATGTTAAACTTGTTTGAAAAATTTTCTGTTAAATCTTAAAGAACTATTATACATTTCATTTTATAAATACAGATAGGAAATTCAGTTACAAATAGATAAGCATATTTAAATATCGTTAAGTTATCTTCTAATAATTTCAACTTAAAATAGCAAGACATAAAAATAATGAATTAAAATTATAAACTTTGTTTATGGTGTTTAATTAAGATATAAAGTGATGAGTAAAATGAAAGCAAGACTTTTCAATTGATTGAATATGGAGTTATGTTTTAAAAAAACATATACAATGACTTTAGATTGAAATAATAGTAAAAGTAGACTAAAATTCTCTATAAGAAAATATAAAAAATTATTTCCAAGCCAGTTACAAATGCTTCTCAAGTTTACTGAGAATCTGAACATTTGTAAGAAAAAAGTGTATTATTGCGTTTTATAGAAAATCACACAGTATAGGTGTTCTGGAAAAAAAGATTTAAAATGTAATAATCTTTAAAGTAAAGTGTACTTTGTGCTGAAACAAAACTTAGTGTTGTTATTTAAGGTGGGGAAAAAAATCCAGAACAAATAGAAAAAAAGAAATGGTACATCAATATTTCAACAGGATCATGGGAAAAAAAACTTGACTGAATGATACATTTCCACAATACCAACAGTTCAAAAATTTGTAATATATAAAGAATCATTTATGAAATACGAGTGTTTTCAGTGTTTACTTACAGGATAGATAATGTAAAAACTATTGTCTCTAATAATTACAATTAATGCCAAAGCACCTTTCCTAAATTACCCTTCGATGTTTAATAGCTGGAAAATTGATCCATTTAATAATAATATTGATATAGTATTGTGGATATAAATCTGAACCAGTGTTTCCTAAATGATGAATTTGTTTGAATCACATCAGAATAAAGTGTCGAGTGTAACGTTCAAGTCGGGACCAAACCAAGATGAATTTCGTAAACTAAAACAGGTAAGTGAAATCAAGGATATTAATTCGATATATACAATTAAAAGTAATGCAAGGTTAAAATAATTATACAATATATAATTTTAGGGTTAGTTCCTGTTTTTAATAAATTATTTATTGTGTAATTATTTTAGCATTTCTTTCCTTTTAATTGTGTATACGTGTATATATATTGCACAGATTCCATTTTAAGTTATTGATATTAATTCCATCATTTTAAATTTATTACACTTTTTTCATATAAAATTAAGTAATTTCTGTTTATTCCTTTTGAATATAGCTGTTTTTACTTCACTTTTTATTAACTATGAAAAATATTACATATAGTTTGTTTGAATTTTCTAGATCTTTGACTGCTAATGTGATATTAGTATTTAATATTACAAATATTTTCCTCTTTAACCAAGAGAAAATGCATAAACAAAAACAATTGCTGTAAAATGTATTCACAAAAGCCATGTAACACACAATAAAAATCTTGTATAGAAAACTGTGAAGAAGCCTATATAATTGTTCTAAATTAAATGGTCGAGAACTATTTTTAGTATGTTACAGCTTTTCAAACATTGTTGAACCTATAAACATAGGAATTGTGTTCTCTGTAAGAGGTAACATATATAAAGGTTTTGAAAGAACTATTGGTGGGATAACAGATTTATTTAGGTAAAACATTTTGAATCTAACAGTGAGACATGATCATGTACAACATTCATAAAAATATTATTCCACCAATAGCTGTTTTAAAGACTTTGTAGGAGTTGCTTTTTTTAAATTCAATTTATACTAGAACCTGATAATGATGCTTCAAACAGTTTGTTGTGAATTTTTCTTTCTGGTTCCTCTCAGAAACCATTATAACAAAGCGTACATAATAGTGGCTGGTTATTTTAATTTTGAACTAGACTCTTTGATGAATTAGTTGTTCAGATTAAATACTAAAAGAGGCTGAAATTTTTATTTCTAAAGTAGACTCTATGACCAGATAACTGTTAGATAAAAGACAAAAAAACAATAACCAAAACCAGGTTTTTTTGTTAAGCTTTTCCTTAATTAAAAATGAAAAGTTAACCATTTTAAAGCATTTTATGAAACTTCTCCTTGTCATCTAAAAGAGATCACATACAATGGGTATGAACAGATTTTATAAATCCCTTCTGTAGCTTGAAGTAGAAAGTAGGTATGCTGGTTGGGTTAGCTGTTCTATACCAGATGCAGGGAACACAGTCATTCGGCTTGAAGTCAAAGGTCCAGATAACACACTCAGACTTCGCCAGGTCAAAGTTTTAGGCCAACAAGGACAAGTCATCGTAGCAGCCAAGGCATTAAATGCAGGTCATATTCAACAACGAAACTGTGAGTCTGAAACCTTGAAAGTTTTCAGACTTCTTACTTCACAGGTGAGTTAAGTTTTATTTCTATGTTTTTCATTGTGGTACATATATAATAAGTTACACCTTGTATGAGTCAACATTTTTAACTTTTATGTTACACATAACAACTAATTACTTAATATCAGAGTTAGGGTCTCGTACTGCATTTATTTCATAGTACAAGACAGTAAACTTATTACAGTGGTGTTTAAAATCAATATCATACATTGTAATGAAGAATTAGTCTCAAAATTGTAACATTGTAGTTCAGGTGGTAATTTGTATAAATTAAATAACATTACCATAACCTATATTATTTCAGTTTGTTCTGCAAGATAGCTCAAGGTCACTAGTTTGAAATTGCTGGTTTAGAATAATTTCATAGTGTAGAGTTGCTGATTTTGTCATAAAGCAGGATTCCTAGTTGAGTTATTACCTGATATTCACTTTTGCTAGTTGAATTTACTACATCATAGTTCAAGGATACTGGTTGAGAGTTACATCATAGTGTAGGATTACTGGTTTAATTAAGATTCGTAATTGAGTTATTACATGATAATTCAGTGTTGCTGGTTAACTTTAGCATTTTACAGTTTATGTTTCTCAGTTACTTAAAATTATCACATCACATTTTAGGATATGTAATTGAACTCTTAGTCAATAATTGACTTACCAAATCGCATTTGAAGATGCGTGCTACCATTATATAAAATTATCAAAATATATTTGAGGATCCCTATGTGAACTACCACATCATAGCTCAGGGTAACTAGTTGATTAACTAAAGCGTAAAATGGGGAATCCATTCCGAGTTACTACATCGTAGTTCATGTTACTTGATGAATGATTACTGAAGGATTACTTGTTGAATTAGTGCATCATTATTCATAATCTCTTTTTGAATTACCACATCAAAGTTAAGAATTGCTATTTGAGTTTCTGCATTAGAAACTCAAGACTACTGGTTACTACATGATGGTTTATTGTTACTGGTTGAGAATCACTAGTTGATTTACCATGTCACAGTTTAGGGGAAGAGTTATAACTCTTGAATTACTGTGTTACTGATAATTTATGGTTTAGTTAGTATGCTAAAATTCAGGCTTACTTATGAAGTTACCACTTGACATTTATGGTCACTGATTGAACTTCAAATCTGGGTTAAGAAATACAAATTGAGGTACAATACTAGTTTAAGGTTAATGATTCAGTGAATACATTCTAATTCAAGTTCATATGAGTTACCACAACTTTTTTCAGATTTACAAATAAGCTCTTTTGGAATAATTTAATACTGACTTTAATATCAATAAACTTTAAGTGTTTGAAAAACCAGTTACTAAAGAAACAGTGAAAGAAAAGAAAAACTTGCAAACTTTGGTTATGATTATCTCAATCTTAATGAACATTGTGAAGGTGTTTTGATAGTTATGTCCCTAGCATTGGGGTAGACATTTGAAAAACTAATCACTAGAGAGGCATTCTTGCAAACTGAAGTTACTACTGCTTTTCTATAGGTGTTCGGAAAACTGATCATCGGAGAGGCAGTGGAGTTAAGGGAAAGAAAAGAGTCAGATAATAGAAGTGATAAACAGCAGCCTGAGGAAGGAAGTAGCAACGATTTAAAAGAACACATGGTTGGAATTCTCTTCAGTCGCAGCAATAAACTAACACATCTGCAAAAGCAGGTAACATGTTTCAAATGTTTTTAAAATAATGATTAATAACATTAACCATTTACAGTATTGTAATGTTGAGCAGAGTATTGAAATACCCAAAAACTTTTTTATTTTTATGAATAGCTAGAACATATGAAGCTTTAATTTTGCATGATAAATGAATGAGGTCAAAGAACATTTTAAGTTGTAATATAACAGAAATGCTTTATTCCATTGGGGAATTTTAATTGTGTAAATAAGCTCAAGTAGGACTTATAATTAGCAAGAAAATTTCAAAGTCTGGGTAACAATAACATGGATATAATATTACTAGAAAACAACCATTGACTCCAGCATATATTGAAAACTGCTTTGATTATTATTTCTGTGTATTCTTCTGAAGTAACACGTTACTTGTATGTAGTTTTAGAAATGTTTAATGTACAATTTACTTTGTGTAATCTAACATCTGGTAGTTTTTACAGATTTTTCATCAATAATTTATTAACAAGTAACAGTAAACCATCTGAAATCCATTCTATTGAGTTAATTTTCATTTTCTTTAATGTCGTTACATTATTCTCCATCAACGAACTTGGTTTTAAAAGTATACTTTGGTTTTTAGTAACTGATTAAGGACCAAAATACTCTACTAATATATTAATTTCTTTTCTTCCTCAACATTATATCCATGTAATTTTTATATACCCATGGGTTATAAAAATATCTTCTACAGGTATGTGCACACATTGTAGCAGCAATCCGTAAAGAGGCAGCCAGGGTGCGAGAAGAGTGGGAGGCTCTTCTATGTAGCAAGTCCCAGTCTGTGGAAGAACTACCAAAATCCTCAGATGCATATTGCTTTGAGATGCTTTCCATGGTATTAGCTCTCAGTGGATCAGCAGTTGGACGGACGTACCTTGCCCAGCAAGGGGGATTGTTGCGTGACCTACTTAGCTTACTACACACAGGATCGGCTCGTGTCCAGAGACAAGTTAGTTTCATTCCTTTGTATTTACAGTTGAAAAAAATGAAATAGTTCTATAATATAAACTTTATTGTGGTAAATTTAAGTGCACATATTGACTGTTAACCCTTTAAAGATGATGTACTCTTTAAACCCCTTTGTGCACAAGTCACTGAGTTGCATTCAAAATTTAATTAAGCAACTTTACTATCAATGTATGTCAATGAAGTTAACATTATAGTGTATGTTATAATTCGAAGTTTTATTTAACTTTTAATTTCTTCGTTTTAAAAGAAACCTTAAAAAACAACTTAGACTTAAATTTTATTGTAACATGATCCACAAGCCATGAAAAATCTCAACTTTCACAGTTGCTGTCTTGAATCAAATAACACCAGTCATGTACATTTATGTCTAGACAATAAGTACATTTACTTGCCCTATTGACACGTATGTTTCAAAGTTCTTTGGCTGAATGTAGTAGAAACAAGTAATAAATTTTGTCAACCCCTGACAGGTGCCATGCCCACTTTCTATACATATCCTTGAGCTTTAGAACCCAACATGTGGTTACTAGACACATGTGTTTATATTCATTAGAAATAGCTCATTTTATACTATCAACCAACAACAGTTATTTTTAAATTTGCTCCAAGTTGTCATCATTGGTTAATTGTAACTGCTTGTAGTATTGTTGACTGCTTGATCCACATCAGCACTTCAGTTGTTTCTTACCTAAATATGTTATAGTTAAATTGTACTTAGGTTTCTTTTATATTGTAGTTACAAATGTATTATTGTGTCTTAAAATTTGAAAGGTTTGATAATTTTTATAAAATAACAAAAGTTTTGCCTCGCTCCGCAAGGCTTTCATTGCTAAACGAGTAAAAAAAAAAAGATTTTGCCAGAGGCTAAAGTACCTCTGGTGTTCATATCATTCTGTTGCCCATGGGTATCTGTTGATGTGTATCAATGTAAATAATAAACAGTAAAGAAAAATAAAACATTAAAATTTAAACTATTAGTGAAAAGCTAAAGATGTGAAATTACACACATGACCCAAAGAAGATATTTTAAAACTATTCTACAAAAGTAAGTAAATATTTCCATTTCTTAATTTCAAACATTTCATTGCAATCTAGATTGATGATAATAGCAAGAGATATAGTAGAGAAAATGTAAAATAAAATATAATCATTTACCTTAAAAAAACTTTTGATATTCATCTAGGAGATTATAGAAATTATGCAAATGAAATGTGAAAACTGTAAGATAATAAATAGTATTTTTATACTCAAAATGAAAATCACCTTGCAGGTGAATTATTCAGAGTCTGAGTGTCAATAACTACAATAAATAACAAATTTTTATTAGAAATAGTAGAAAAAGTTAAAGTTAATTTTAATTTTCTGAAACTGCATACTGTTAAGAAAGATCTTGTCAAATTTCAAACAATTTCTTCCACTCGTTTCATTTCTGGAAAGAAATTTCACAAGAGTTATTTAACCTACTAGCAATGTTTGTATATCGTTTTGATAGAGCTAATCTAGTGACAGTTGTTTTGCATATAAACTCTATTTTTAATTTTAAATTCCTATAGATACAAATCTCACTGCATACTAAAATGTTTGAAGTAAAATAAAAACATTTTATTTTGAAAGCCAATTTCAAAATGATTAGAGACTGATTCCTTATTATAAGGAGAAACATACTTTATTTTTGAAGTTAATCTCGGTTATTGTCCAGCCATAATTCCTTATCTAGGAGATTTTTTTCATAGATTTATAGTGATAGCTTACAAGCTGTTCATTTATGTGCTTGTAATGATAGCATTCTAGCCCTGATTTTTGGGTACATAATAACAGTCATTATGATTACCAACTCTCAATTTTATACTGAAGGTTATAATTTTCTATGTTTATTTGATAGCTGTCAGCTCTCATGTTTTTAGTTACACCTCCCAGGTTTTCGTTTTATGTTGTTGTTGTTTTTCTTTCACTTTTTTTCTTGTATTTATTACCATAGATGCCTAGTCCTCTTTTCTTTCTTTGTAATAATGACTGACACTTTTAATATTTAACATAATACTTCATAGATTTTTCTAGTGAGGTCTATCAAATTTTCTTCTGTTATATGCAGTAATAACTTTCATGTTTTCCTTTTTGTGTTTATAGGAATAACTTACATTTTTTGTGTTTATAATGCTAGCTCACAGTTTCTTTCCTTATGCATTTTTATAATTCCATATATCAGATCTTCCTTTCTCATGTTTATAGTACTAGCTGTAAGTTCATTATTTTTTAATTTTTACAATGAAGGCGTAAAAGGCTTTTTATCTTGTCTATAATGTTCTGTAATTATTTGTTATTCCATATAAAAGCTGTGTTATAAGAAAGCCCAACAAAATTGAAAACATTATAATTTTTGCTTGTAATAAGTTGACAAATATGCTTACATAAGCATATATATTTACATAGAATATCAACATATATATATTCTAGATTTATTGGTCTTTATAAATTTTATACTTAACTTTAAAACAGATTACCAGTTTAAAATTGATATTTCAGAAAAGCATTATCTCATTAATTAAGCCATCTTGATCAGTAAATTGGTATTTTATTTGTCAGTGATTTGGAAAGTAAATAGTGTCTTATACCATCAGGTCACCTCCCTCCTTAGAAGAGTGCTTCCTGAAGTCACCCCACAGGCTCTAGGATCTATTCTAGGAGTACCTTCATTACCCCCTACAGATTTCAGCATCATTTCAGAAGCCAGTAAAATGCAAAATGGGGTAGCAGCATTTGATATCCACAGGATAGGAGTTTTAGATGTCTTTCTAGCTTGTGTTGCCAAGGCACTGACTGTCCAATCTAAAGTAAAAGGTGCTGGTGCCACCAGTGGCAAAGGGATTACCACTGTAACTCTTGCCACATCCATTCATCCTAGGTATGTGTACTTAAATTCTGTTTTAGGTTTGTCCTTTTTTTCTTATTTTTGTTTTATCTCCATTAACCAAAAAATTTAACATTCATCCAGCCACACACATACACACACACACACCTTTGTCTCTTTTTGTAGTAACTAAAACTTAGTAAAAAATAGCTTTAAGATGAGACTTTAAAATAAAAAGAAATTACTCAAATGAACTCTGTCAGGATCGGTTTCGTGTCACATTTTATCTTTTATTTGTTTTTTGACATCGTTTTATAATTTTCGATGTTTTTAATGAGTACTTTGTTAATTTTCTGAAAATATTTTTTATTAAATGACCTGTAATATTGCTTTCCTTGTACACAATAGAATTGTAAATATAAAATATGGAATTTCAATGATAATTTTCATTATACAACATTAGAGTTTGAATTTTTTTTTTACTATGTAACAGCTGCATTAAAGAATTTTTTTTGTCTATATCTGTAATGAACAGAGACTTTGTTGGTGCTCGTTGGTGGCTTCGAGGCTGTATGGCTCGCAAGTTAGCTGAGGTCATTATACAACTTTTAAAGGATATGGCTGCTGTAAGTTTGTATTTCTTTAATAGTATATAATCACAGTAGATTATAGAGAAGCTATAGGCAATGTATAGTGATATTGTTACAATAAAAAACTTGAACTATGCTGTCATTGAATATTTCAACTTTGTTTTCAAACTGTTATTGTTCAGGCAGTAATAGTTTTTTTGTACTTTGTTTAACTAAAACTTAAAGTAATTATAACATATTATAATTTCAAGGGAAAGTTAACAGAAGCATGGGCTACTGTTACAAAAGGTGCCATAGCAGAAAATGTATTAAATTTGACCAAGTTGGAAGAGCATTACAGGACCCCTCAGGAATGTTTGAGAACACCCACGGTAAGCTTCTGACCATCTAATTGTTTGTAGAATTCAGGCAGCTTTTTCAGTTAACCACATTTTCAGTGATCTATTCTTCTATATCAGAACAGATGAAGTGTTTGTAAACTTTATATAGACAGTGATTTTTTTTCTAACTATAAAAAAATTTTCATGGTTTGTCTAATATATTTTGTGTACAGTGATTCAGGACTTTATGTTAAATATATTGTTATGAAATAGTAAGATTGATTTTAATCTTAAGTTGCAAGTATCTTATAGTTACTGAAATTCAATACACAAAATTATAAACTACACATAAGAACTATCGAATTTACTACACAAAAGTGCTTTCAACAACTAGTAACTAAGAGTAAATAGGGACTTAAATCTGAAAGTAAAACTGACTTTTTTTTGCATGTATCACACTTTTTAATACATAATTTTTATTTCTTGCCTTATTAGTATAATGGTTTTTATGATTTGGCCAGTGAAAACATTATACCAATTACCAAGAAATAAAAATTATGTATTTAAAAGTGTGCTTCCCCACTAAGTGGTAAGTCTCAGGGCTCACACCATTAAAAACCAGGATTCAATATTTGTGGTGGGCTCAGCACAGATAGCTCATTGTGTAGCTTTATGCTTAACAATAAACAAAAAATTTAACAGTGTAATACATAAAATGGCCTCTTAAGTCTTAAGAAACTGAATACAAATAGCAAAAAATAAATAATTCTAAATGGCTTTTCCAGTAGAAAAAACCCACTGCTGGTCACCACATTAAAGGTAATCAAAACATTAGAATTGGGGTAGGATCCTTGAGCAATGATAAAGGAAGGCTCATATCTGATGATTATAAGATGACTGGGTTATTAAGTTTTGCTTTTCTTCAGTTTTTACTTACAAAGATTAAAGCAGTATTCCATATCTTGAACAGTTGATAGATGGAAACAAGATTGAACAACATGATTGCATTAATTTTGAGCTTATTAAGAAAAATATTGGGAATTTTAAAGAATGTTAAGGCTCCTAGGGCAAATACTATTTCCCCAATAGTTTTGAAGGAGACTAAGGATTGGATATGTGATCCATTTGCTATTGTTTTTTGTAAGTCCTTGAATAGTGGGCAGGTACCAGAGGATTGGAAGTTAGCTAATGTCACTCCTCTTTTCAAGGGAGGTGATAAAAAATATCCCAGTAATTTGAGACTCATTAGTCTTATATTAGTTGAGGGAAACGTTTTAGAAAGTCTGTTAAAAGATGCTTTACAAAGCTATTTAACAAAGTTTAGTATCTTATTGGATAGTGAACATGGTTTCACTAACGGAAAATCTTGCCTTACAAATCTTTTGATATTCATTGGAAAGGTTGCTGCTTATGTAGATTTGTAAGGGTGTAGATTTGGTGTAGATTTTCAGAAAACATTTGAAAAAGTGCCACGTAAAAGGCTTGTAAAAAAAAATCTGTTTAGGTGTGGGGGGATATGTTAGCAAATTGGATAGAAGAGTAGCTGGATGGAAGAAAGCAGAGGGATTGATGATACAAGTGAGGGCTCAATCTGAGGATTTTTGCTCTTTTTGATTTACATCAATGACATAGATGAAGGAATTGTCAATAAATTACTTAAATTTGTAGTTGATATTAAGGTCTTGGGGTGTTGCAAGCTGTGAAGAGG